CATTTTTGAAAAAAATTTACTTCGAAAAAATAAGATTTTTGAAAAACTATAAATTGGACAAAAAATAACTTTTTTTTGAAAAAAAAAATTTTTTTTTTAAATTTTTTTTAAAAAAAAATTTTTTTTTTAATTTTTTTTTTGAAAAAAAATGTTTTCTTTATTTTGACATATTTTGGAAAATCTGAACTTGTTTTTCAAAGCAATCGTACTGCTTTAACTGCATAGAGACAAAATATAAAGCGCGTAAGCGCGGCGTCGCTGTCTAACGGGTAAACATTGATACGGAACCCATAGGAAAATAAACAAAATTTATACTTATTGTTAAAATCTCTATAAAATATCTGAAAATTTGTTGTGCATATGTCTAATGATCATTTTTGACCGCCAAATGGCATTTTTTTTTACTTTTTTTGTTAGATATCCGAAACCGCTAGACCTGCTTTTATGAAAATTTGCTCAGTTCTTTATCTTGTCAATACAAGTAAAATGTTTTTTGAATTATTAAAATCGGACGCTCCGCTCTCTTAAAAACTGAGTTACCGTTTTCGGCACTTTTTGCCCCATATCTCCGGAACGGCTAGATCTGCCTTTGCCAAAAACTAATCAGCACGTCTCCTTATCAATACGAATCGAATGTTTTTTGAATTATTCAAATCGGTTGACCCGTGTTCCCGAAATCGTCGACGAAAATTTGTATCCGCACATACATACACACACATACATACATGCACACACACACACACACACATACACACACACACACACACACACATACATCCATTTTTTCTAAGGTATGCCAAAATGTTCAGAAACCTCTGAAACGTAAAGATATATAAAAATTTTCATTTTCGATTTTTTTGCGATTACTATAACTTACCCTACGGGAAGTTAATAAATCTTAATTATTTTCTAATCTTTTCTAACTTTGTATCTTAATTAGTTGCCTCACAATTTTAGGAAAAAGTGTTAACCAAAATTTCAGGAAAATATTATAATTTAATGGAATTAAAATACAAATTAATATAGTTATAATCGTTAACAAAATGACTTAATAAAATGACTTTTTCATTTTTACAATTGAACTATAAAATAATTATTTCTTCTCTCGTAAAATTATCTAAGAGCGCTAATGACTTTTATAAATATTTAAACGTAAATTTTCTTCGAAATCAGTTACTTATTTATTTGTTTGTAAGAATAACATGTTAATAATTTGCTGTGTTAATTACAACTGTTAAATATATATATATATATATATATATATATATATATATATAAATATATTTACCGACGACGACATCTTATTTGAATATTTAAGAAAAAAATACAAAACAATTTATGGCCGTTAAAATTTTTATATACATGTTATTAAATGATCGTAAATATTTTAATTTATATATATATATATATATATATATATATATTTATATATATTCATGTAAATTTTGAAAACAAAATATAATAATTAAGTTAAAAATTGCAAAAAGACAAAATATTCTTAATATACCAAAACACTCAGAAAGTAGTAGAAATTTTAAATTGAATTTGAAATATAACGACTGTGACTTTTATATTAACTCTTTAGCATTTCTTTAAAAGAAAATAATTAAATTTTAGCTTCAATAAAAAAATATGAATCAATCTTGGTTTAAATATGAATTAAATATTGCAATTTAAGCAAACATTGTTTTTCTTTAATTATTCTTTTTTCTCTAGCATTGATCAGTTTTTGGTTGAAACAAATTTTTGGTAATTTTCAAAAATTCCCGAGATCCATTTTTGTTGCCTACCACTTACACCTAGTTATAAATTCAATTGCTACATTTACTATTATTGTTATATATTGTATGCAAATTTTATTTTTTAATCATTCGCAATTTTCAATGTCAAACGTCATAGATAATAATGATGATGATGATGAGTCAAAGTCATTATTTATGGCGCCAACAATTTTATTTCTTCATCAATTTGGGTTAAAAATAGATTTTTTTTTGGCGATAGATTATTTAATTAATTTAAAATATTTGTTTATTGTTAATAATATAAATAATTCTGATTAAAAATATTTGTTAAGAAGATTGTTTGGTCTCATAAACAGGACTTTTTTAAATAATTGATTAATACATTTATATATATATATATATATATATATATATATAAAATATATAAAAAGAATTCTTCTATACGAGTCGAGATACTCCTCCTAAACGATTATTCGGATTTCAATGAATCTTTCTGAAGTTAGTTAAGGAAATTTTTATGGGGTAAATAATTATAAAAATATAGTAATATTTTAGAAATAAATAGCAAAAATTAGAAAAAAACATTTATTATCGCTTGAGATTAAAGACATTTGAACTGTTATCCGCTAGTAATGTCAATTCATTTGAAATTTGAATTTAGCTGAAATTATGAGCCTAGATAATATTAGAATAAATAATATACAAGAAAAATGTAATGTCTACATTATTATTGCCGAAAAATAGCTGAGATGTGCCAGAATTTAAAATAATATAAGATACAGTCAACAGTATATGTTTGGCAGATGAAATTATATAATTCAGTTTAATAAATAACGCAACAAGTTCAAAATTGCAACGACATTATTTTTTAACTAATGCAGTCGCATTCTGGTTTACTTTACTAAATTATTTAACAATATAAAAAATATTTCTACATATTAAAAAAATGATTTAGAAGTTTGTTTTATGTGTCAAAAATTCATTTGTTTGGCATTGGATATGAAACATTTAGCAAGTTGATCTTAGATTGAAGAACTAGATTTTACAAATTAATTCACCCAAGATTTGAACTAAAGCAATAACGTTTATTATATTATTAGTAAGAAAAATGTACTCGTGATATTAAAATTGCCAAAAAGCAACTAATTTAAAATTAATATATGATACGAGATTATGAAAATTTAAGACATAATTATGGAAGCAATTATGATGTGTTGTAAAATCAAGTCTGATATTGTTCTTTTACCGCAGATACTATATTATTT